GCACCAGGCTCGCGGCCCGCGGCTGGCATGGCGGGACGGCGGCGCGGCGCTCGGTGCTGCACGGACCAGGCTTGAGCGGGGCCATGGGGGGCGCGGGTGGGGACGCGGAGCGCCGGCGGCAGTGGGGGGCCCTGTTCGACCAGCTGGACGCCAATAAGGACGGGCGGGTGGACGTGGAGGAGCTGCGCCAGGGCCTAGCCCGCCTGGGCATGAGCGCGGGGGCCCGGGCCGAGGAGGTACTGGGGCGCCTCGGGCCTGGGAGGGATGGGACCGGTCGGGTGCCCTATCGGGGTGGGGGTTGTGGGGAAACTGAGGCAGGGGATGGAACCCAGGCGTCCGGGCTGCCGGCTTCTGCCCCCCCTCAACCGCTGGACCCCCCACCGGTCTCCCACAGCTGGGCAGGGAACCCAGGCGTACGGGCTGCCGGGCCTCAGCCCCTGCTCAGACCGTTAGATCCAGGCTGCTGCTGGCACTGGGGAGGGAACCCAGGCGTCCTGAGCTTCCCCCCACCCTTGGCTGGACCCTAGTGTGCTGCCAAAGCTGGAGCTACTACCCAGGCGTCCGGGGGGCTAGTGCCAGAGAAAGAACCCAGGCATCCGAGTCGGTTCCCCACCTCTGCTCTGCCCCGTCAGGTCCCCCCTCTCCACTCAGAGCTGCAGAGGGAACCCAGGCATCCAGCTGCCCCCCACCCCCTCTGACCACTGGTTCCTGCTGCCTCCTGCACGGAGGCAGGGGGAAGGGCTCAATGCGGAAGCAGAGCAGGTGGCACATGTAACAGGCCTGGACACGTGTGCACCCATCGGGTCTAGACACACACATGTGCAAGGCGATCCCAGTACCACATGCTCTCACATGCCTGGAGGAGGCACGTGTGTGCCCTGCCTGCCCTGGGGAGGTGGAGGGAATGACTGCACCACAGGGGGCTGTGACACACCTGTGACGTGTGTGACACGTGGGGTGTACAAGCCCCAGGCTTCCTGGGCCAGCGAGAGCAATGGGAGCCCAGATACCTGGGTTCTCTCCTGCTGTGTGTGGGGAGGGAGTGGGGGGCTGCCAGATGCCTGGGTTCTTTGTTTTTCTTGCAAAGAAAGAACCTAGGCATCCAGCGTGCCCGAGGGCAGCAGGATCTGGGGAGGGAGGCGCAGCACCCCACGGCAGAGGTCGGGGGGTTGGCCGGGCCCCATGTAGTATAAATAGCACCTGGCATGGGGCTGCACAGTATTTTTAGTGCCTAGCGTAGCTCCTCGGGGCAGAAGAAAGTGGCTGGTGGTGCCCCAGGCACTCAGCAGTTAAAGGGGGCACCCCACAGTAGGACCCAGGAGTCCAGGCTCCCAGCCCTCCCCTGCTGTAACCACTAGCCCCCACTTCCCTGGAGGGAACCCAGGCATCTGGGCTCCCAGGGGTGTCCCCTCAAGCCCCAGTGGTCATGTGACCAGCTGGGCATGCATGAAATGTAAACATACAGGGCCTGATCCTGCATCTGGATCCTGGCCAGAGCACACGGGAAGGTGGGGGGGCTCAGGCGCCTGCATTCTATAAGCCGCTGTGGGGGGCAGAGCATGACGGGTTGGAGGGCACCTGAACATTTGGGTTCCCTCCTGCTCAGGGAGGGGGGTCCAGTGGTTAGAGAGGGGGGTGCTGGGAGCCCAGACACCTTAAACCCTCACTGCCCACAGTGCTGCCAGCTGATTCCTTCCACTGTGAGGAGCTGCAGGGCACTGAAAATACCAAGCAGCCCTGACGGGCAGGGGGGGCGGGGCAGTGAGACAGAGGCAGGCCTGGCTTCCTCATCCTGCAACCCCCCCATGTTTGTCCCGTGCACTGACTCCCACACTGAAACTACCTGCTGTGTCCCCCCAGGAGATCCTGCGCGAGGGTGACACAGACCACGATGGGCAGCTGGACTTCGAGGAGTTCGCCCGGTTCTTGCAGGAGCGAGAGCGGTGCTTACGCCTCATGTTCCACCGCCTGGACCGCAACCGTGACGGTACCATGACCCCCTGCCTGCGCCTTATGTTCCAACAGTACCAATGCCCCCCCATGGGACCCCCCTTGACCCCTGACTTGCACCAGGACCCCTTGGGTCCCCCCATCCTGTCCTAAGCACTATGGCGATGGGACCCCCCCTGACCCTCCCCCGCCAACCAGCATCTCATGTTCTACCCCCTCAATTGTAGCTGAACGTACCAGCACCCCACAGGACCCCTTGGACCCCCCCACCTGCACCTCATGTCTCACACAACGGTACCAAGACCCCCATGGACCCCACCACAGCCTTCCCAGGCCAGTGCAACCACAATGGTACTGGGGGGACCCCTCCCTTGGCCCCACTGTGGACCCTCCATGGACCCCCCCGGGACACCTCCCCACTTGTGCCTTATGCTCCACTGCCTAGACTGCAACCACAACAGTACTGGGACCGCTCCCCCTCCCGAACACCACCCCCCCGCTCCCAGGGACCTCCCCAGTGCGCCCCACATGGATCCCCGCTGCTGCTCCCAGGACCCCCATGTGCGTCATATTCCAGCCAGTAAAGTACCAGGACCCTCCACCTTCCAGGGACCCGCCAGGACCCCTCCCCCACCTGTGCCTCATGCTTCACTGCCTGGACCACAGCCAAAATGGTAGTGGGACCCCCCCTCACTGCCCCCCCACCCACTGCCCCCATCCCCTGACCTAAAGCCCTCCTTTCTGCCCCTCAGCCCTTCTCCCTCCCCCTGAGCTTGTGTGCTGCATCCAGGGAGCACAGACCACTCCCAGACCTCCCAGATTAGAACTCCTGGGTTCCCCAACCCCCCACAGTCCCCCCTCATTCCTGGGTGGGGGCAGCCAGGGGCTGGTGGGGGAACCTGGAGGCTGCTGCCTGGATGGACTGAGGCTGATGGAAGCTGGATGCTGCCAGCATAACACCCCCCCTACCCCCCAGTCCCATCTGCCTGGGCATCACCAGCCTGGAGTTGGGGGCAGGGGATGTCTCTGGGGCCATCACTGATGCTGGGGCAGGGTGGATCAGGTCTCAGTCTGGGGCATGGGGGCATCCCCCCCTCCGGGGGCCCTTTAAGCATTGGGCTGGCCCCTGTTGATACACGTGTGTAAAGGGTGGCATACTTGTGCGAGACGGGCTGGAGGTGTCTGCCCAGGTCTCCCAGTGAGCAACTGTGAGGCTGGAGGAGGGGAGGGGTTCTGTCAGGGCCTAAGTGGGGAGGCATGTGTGTGCATTCTCACATGTGTGCAAGCAGGACCAACCCCTCCCTGAATAGTGCATGATGCCCAGTGGGCATGTGCCTCAGGTGATAGGGGTAGGCACTGGCTCCTGCTCCCGGGGGCCAACTTGCATGCTTCACACACCTGCACACACGTGCATGAATGATACATGCCTCCTCAGGCTGAGGGGCACGGCGACCACCTGCAGGTGGCAAGCAGGGACTGCCTGCAGGTGACTGTGGTGACATTGGCGGTGAGGGTGGGCCAAGTGGGGACTGCCCACAGGCAGCTGCGGTGGTGTTGGTGGTGAGGGAGGGAGGATGGCAGGCAGTAAGGGGTCCTAGCAGTGCAGGGGGCTTCAGCAGTGGCCAATCTCAGGAGGGGCACATGCCCCCCCGTACCCCTCCTACGCATTGCATATGCACTTGTGAACCTTTACACTTGCATACTCGACACACATATGCTGATCCCCACCCTCCCGTACTTGTCCCCAGGCCAAATTGATGTCTCTGAAATTCAGCAAACCTTCCGCAGCCTGGGGGTGCCCATCACTTGCGCTCAGGCCCAGAGGATTCTCGCCAGGTGAGTGCCACCCTTTGAAGCCCCCTAGACTCCCCATAGCCCTGGTGCCCCCCCCCCCACCCCCG